AGATGGGTTCTTGTCCCCTCTGATCAGCTAATCAATTATATTCTGGTGTGGTTGTGCAGTGCCTTTTTCAACACTAAGCTACTGCCTTCCCTTCCTGCTCCTCGCAGCTCCCCAAGTGGCACCGGCACCGCTCATCAGATTTAGCTGCGCAAGCGTTTCTGCCCCGTTGGGTTCCTCTGACGATCTGCGGGAGCTTTCAGGAGCTCCCGTTGGTTTTAATTCCTCCCTGGAGAGCAACAATCAATCCCACTCTTTCTGGTGCCCTGGTCACAGGTTGTTTGGTTTGTTGCTTAAGGATTTTTGTTAGTGAAAAAGCCTCTCCCAACTATTTTCAGATTTTACCATGCTCTAGCCCTAAAGTATTTCTTAAATGCTGGGGGTTTTTAGCATGTGGTGTTGTGCTGAATAGGTAGAAGGGTTCTTTGTTTAAACTCTTTTGGCTTTTTCACTGCTACAGAACGGTGTGACGGAGGCTGTATTTGCTGCATGGGACCAGAGCACCAAGTGCCTTCTATTATATCTGCTCCAGAGGATTTCCTGGGAAGTGTTCAGCCTCCATTTCTGTCTGTAAGGAAATCCTCTTATCTGGGCAGAGCAATAAATAGTGCTGCCTCCTGTAATAGAAACAGAAAAACACATTCTTCACATGGCTGTTTTTAAAAATGTGGGGTTTAAAATATATTATCTGGAATGATTCTTCTGTAATAAATCCCCATAATAGCGTGCTATATGTACATTTAACTAGCCGCACAGAGGTAGGGAGAGAGGGAGACAGTGTGTTAAGAGGGGGTTTAGCATGCATTTAGTAATGACAAGAGCAGTAAATAATCCTACAGGTTTACAAACCTAATCCCCTGTGTCTGATTGCAGCCCTCGCGTCTACTAGAGTCGGTTGGCAAAGACATTAAAATGCTGTAAAGAAAGGGCTTTTGGGGGTTTTTATTTTTAAATATTGGGGGAGCTGGCTGGGTGACTGATGGTTTTGAGTGGCATGAATGTAGTTCATTTGGGACCCTGATGAGAGAAAGCTCTAGAAGTGCCTGTCCTCCTCTGCTTGCTAAGGAGATGTTAGGTTAGGATGGAGTAGGCTGCTCCTCGCTGCCTCACTCTATGCTATTCCCAACAGTACTTTCATTTAAAAACTGGATTTGTGGGGGTTTTGTTGTTTTTTATTCCCAGTTTCTTTTTTGCCTGCAGTAAAGTGGTTGTTTTTCTTAACGGAAGAAATCCATGATATCTAAGAGCCGTGCCACGTGATGCCATTGCTTTTAAATAAGCTTTTAAGAGGTTGGACCAGATGTTAGCCACATCTGTGTTTTTATTTCATTGAACATTTCATTTCGACCCTTTTATTAGAAGAGAAAATGATCATTTAGAAATTGTTTTGAAAAGTTTAGCAGCTGGGAAGATCTTTCTGGTGTATAAAAAAGCAAGAGGTTTACTTTCTGTGCCCTGGAGTGAGCTGGATAACATCGAGCAGACGGTTATTTATGGCTCATGTTGGAAACGATTGCTGTGGAAATTTTCAGATCAAAACGGATGTATTCTGTTTGGAATTGGCATTCCATAACAAAACACATATTATTTTTTTTTTTTCTCAGTGAAAGTGTTAAACTAAGGACTTTCTCTCCTGAAAAGCCCCTCGCATTTAATGAATGCCTATTGCCTTGGCAGGGAAAAGGACGACTTGCAGGCAGAGGGATATCCTGCAATTACTCCCTCTACTGCCGTTATGGGGTCTAAGAAATGCTTATTATGTATAACTTGCTTCTGGATTCTTCTCTGCAATTTGCCAGTTGGAGAATGAGTTTTCCATCCCCGTTGCTAATTGATCCAATGAGAAAAACTGGCACCTAATTCAGTAACAAGTTATATTTAAAATGACATGTGAAACTGTTCATGGTGCCTGAAATTACATCATTTTCAGTCTGGCATATTAGGGCTGTATAAGGGAACAGGCACCTACTGTACTGTGACATATTAAATTTTAAATCTACAATCCAAAAATATAGCAGGGTATAGGAAGAGTGAGGTGTTTAATGAGGAATAAAAGCAATGGCAGCTCCATTTCAGTGGGATATTTTTATTGTTCTTAAGATGCTGTGGCAGTTTTTACAACAAATAATTTTGGGATGCAGTTTTCTGTAAAGTTGAGCAGTGAATTGAGTAGTTCTGTCGCTACTTCCAAAGTTTGATTTTTTAGCCCGTAATTTTGGAACTTACTAGTGATTTTTGAGGTTGGCTTCTTTTTCTTTGTCCCTAATTCCAAGCCTATGTAGTCATTTGACATTTTAGTTCATCTGATGCAATGAATATGGAAAAAAAAAAAAAAAAAAGAATCCTTTACATGCTCAGATAAACAAAATAGACAGTTGGGGTTTTTTCACAAAAAACCCCCTTGAGGAAACAAAAGGTAGATAACACAAAGAAGTGGGAGGCCATCCCCTCTTCTGTCCTACAGTTTGATAGTTAAAGCACTTACCCAGAACATGGGAGACCCAGTTTGAGTCCGTTTTCTTCATGAACTCCTTCCAACATAGGAGACAGGTTATTCTGGCTTGGGCACGCTCTTGCACTCTGCTGTCGAGCTGTTTTATTTTGTGCATTGAAACATTTCTCAAACTGAGGTGTACAGTCTTCTGGAAAGGCACCTCAGATACTAGACTACAGAACTCCTTTCCTTGGTGAATATTTAAGCATTTTACTCACTAGAAATTTATATCTACGAGGTGTACAGTCTTCTGGAAAGGCATCTCAGATACTAGACTACAGTATTTACTCCTTTCCTTGGTGAATATAAGCATTTTACTCACTAGAAATTTATATCTAGGTTCCAGCAGGAGGGACGTGTAGTGCTGTTTTGCAGCATTCCCTGGACTCCCATGGGTGATAAGGTGTACAGTGGTTCCTCTCTGCACTCTCCATGATTACCATTTGCTAAAAAATTTTCAGTGAGTTATATTGAAGAGGCAGCAAAACACAGGGATGTAATTTGTCACCTTGCTTTTCCTCTCCGGCCTTGAGCCAGGATGTTCTTTGCTATGTCCATGGGTCACATCCCGGCTTGCTTGGTGGTGGGGTGCCTGCATGAGGAGCTGGTGGCCCTAGTGCAGAAAGTTCTGCTCTCACTGCACTGTGGAGCAATGAGGCCAGAAGAAAAGCATCTGTACTGAACAGTCATATAGTAGTTACAAAATCTTGTACACTACTAAAGTATTTTTTGGAGATAAAGGTTGTAAAGTCAATCTGGTGCCTGAGGCTAAAGTACAGTTAATATCTAAATGTAACAGGCAATGAGATATGTTCCTTAAGGCCTTTTCAGTCATATTAGCATCAGATTATCTGAATTGGTAAAGTTGATATTAGATTTATGAGTCAATCTCAGAAGAAAATCAAAGCGCATTGTTACACAGTTCCTTACGAAAGGAAATTTCCTTTGGGATGAAACCTGTTTTGTGTGTGACTTGGTATGGAAAGAGTTTAAAACTTTCTGTTGATTGTTTAAGGTGGAGTTTAAGAAGACATTTGTAAGTGCTTGGTGTCTGATACCAATAAATATTTGTTGAGTTAAGCAGCCAGATCCTTTGCACCTCAAGAAGCTCAACCTTTATTCCTAAACAAGTGTTTTGGTTGGATTCCTAACCGTGTAGTTTCATGAACTTCAGGCAGCTGGTTTAAACACCTGAGTTTTGCCAAGCAGAGCATCATTTATATCTTCTGGGAATGCTCGTAATTCCTACTTTTGCTTGTCTTCACCTTCTGGTGCTCCTCAAGCCTCCAGGCTCCACATAGCCATAACCCACTGTTGGGTCAAAGAGCTGCCGCTGCCTTCCCCCTCCACTGCATTGCAGCTCTGCTCCATGAGAAAGCACCAGACTGGGGAATCAAACCATTCGGAGGTCTTGGTTTGTGGGGAGGCACATCCCAGGACTGAGGAGCAGGAGTTGTGAAGATGCCAAGCTGTTCTGCACCATTTTGATTTTAATTTGTTACTGCAGATTGTTGAAACTTAATTTGTTTATTTTTTCCCGCAAGTAAACTGGTTAGGTCATCTCTTCTCTAGTCTTGATTAGATGTAATGGAGATGACCAAGAAAATTGCTTCATTCCCCAGCGTAAGTCTTTGTTGAATAATTTATTTTCTTCTCTACCTGGACTACATTAATCGTGCATTACTACTACGTACGTTAATGTGATGTGGAAAAGCAGGTTTTGCTGCTGTACACTGTGCCAGTCCCAAATTAGGCCTCAGTTCTGCACTGTTATGCTTTTTAATTGAGAGAATATTAAAAAATGTGTTTTCAGAAGAAGTCTTAATAAATACAAAACTAGAAAAGTTATAGTGAAGTTGTAATTTCAGAAAGTCATTGTTGTTTAACATTTATCTAGACCCTTCCATAGCTTTTGAAAGTTATTGTAAAATTTGGAAATGTTTTTAATAATTCCCATTTTACGGATGCTAATACACATCATTTTACAGAAGTGGTATGAAGTAGAGTGGATCAAATGAGGATAGGTCAGAATTAAGAAGAAAACTATGGTATGACTGTCAGCATGATGTGTTTCTTCACTGCTCCGTGCTGCTTCCCTGAAAACAGAAAATATTTTCTAAGTCTTTATGGATAAATCATTGACCTGTAGGCTCTGACAGAGAAATTCATGTTATGATGAAGGAAAAATGGTCATATTTTTTAAATGGTTTCCCCAGCTTCCTGATGAACGTTTGTGGCTGTAAATTAAAATGGGAATAAAAAGGCAACTGGAAGTGTCTGTCAGATTTTCAGTAGGGAAGAAGACTGAGCTGGTTCCTGAATTTTAAATGGATTCAGTGTGGTGAATTTGTGCATGTGTTTCCCCCCATATTGAAAATACTCAGCAACACCTTAAGCCTCCTGGCTGAACTCTGAAGGATCATCGTTAAGTGTTACTTCACCGTCGAACTTGAATTGCGATAGATTTTGAACAAACATCTGCCTGATTCAACTGTGCTCTCTTCTGTAGGTGAGAATACGGGAGACGGTGAATTAGATCTGAGTGGGATCGACGACAGTGAAATAGATCGGGTAAGGTGCCCCCTTATCCTGGGTGTCTCTGCATTTGGTTATCCGAGAAAGATAAAATGGTTCTTATCTGATTTGTCCTCTCCCCTCACTGCCTCTTTGCTCTGATCTATAGAGAGGTTCGAGTTATTTCAGTGATCTGAGATCAAAACTAATGTTCACGCAAACCTGTGAATTTGATGTTCCTTGCCCAAGTTATATAGATATGAGAGTGCTGCTGCTGCTTGCTCTTACCAGGATGGAATAATTATGTTTTAGAATGTCCTTCATTCTGAAGAAGGACTTCTAAAAGTTTGGTGGAGCTCTAAATTAATTATTTAATTTAGATATTTTCAACATAGGAGGCTGCCATGGAAACCAAACTGTAAAACCAGCTTCTATGTTCTTTTCTATGTACAGCTTCTATGTTCTTTCAAAGTTTTCTTTAACATTTTCTGTAATTATTATTATTTGTGCGGCAGCAAAAGATTCCCTTTACCATAAAGACTGAATATGACAGACAGACAGCTGTGTAAAATGGCTTGTTGAAGGCCACACAGCAGCTCAGCGCTTGAACACACAACAGTCCGGCTCTCCTGACCCCGAGCTTGATGCCCTCTCCAGCTGCCATGCTGGCTTAAATTGTACTTTGAACAGATAACACCAATGCTAAAAACTCCTCTTGGGGTACAAAATAATTGAGAATGGTGAGGTCACATAGGGGTTACTGATCTACAGAACATTGTTGGTGATAGATGAAGGAGCAGGAAAATGCTTGGCTTGACTTCAGCCATGAAGCAGGTTTTGCTAGGCTGGGTCTTGTGAATTGAGCAGACATGGTATGGAGGGATCAGGGAGGCTAAAGGTTTTCAATATAGCAGATCCATAATTTAAACAATCACAGGGGAAGAACAAGCACATTTTCTCCTCCTCCCAGGCTCTGTGATGAGGTCATAACTCTGCTTTTATGACCTCATGTTCATTTCATGGCAATAGACTGTAATATTTTCAGCCCAGGATTATGAACTCCCTAAAAGCATAAGAAGGATGAATAACTGAGCTTGGAGGAAGCGAGTTTTACTATTACGACTCACCTTTAATAGCAGCAGATGAAAGAGTGAAAATATTGGTCTGATAAACCAGGACTTACACAGCTATTTGCTCGCCTCGTTTGCCCTCAGAGAAAGGACTCCTCCCTGCATTAATTTCATTTGACTGGAGTTATTTTTCTCATAAAATCCTGTAGGTACATTTTACTTTGGAGAAAATCTTGAATGCTCAAACCCATAAGATGTAGAAATCTCAAATTGTTTTTCTTGCACTTAAGCATTGTTTGACAAGTCTTGGATCCACTGCTTAAAAATAAAATGTCTTGTTCATGAAGGATGACCCAATTTGTCTTCACTCCTGAAGAGCATCAGCTGTAGAGAACTTTAGTTTCACGGACAGTTGTGCTAAATACTGGGTTTATTTTCACATTTAAGTAATTGAAAAGGAGATCTATCTACCAACCTGCCAGCCTGCCTGCTACCTACCTCTTTACTTATTTCTGTAATTCATCTGAGTACTTCTAGGTGTGTTTTACAGCTCCACACCTACTAATGATGTTACTGGGACTAAATCGAGTTAACTCAAGAAAGCTTAGATGTGATTACTGAAGCCAAATCTCTAAAATCTAGAGGACTAAAACTCCAGCGGTCTAAGCTGGTTTCATTCACACAAATGTGGCCATTGAACTAATAACCTCAGTAACTGTGCCTAAACCTTTGCAGAAACCTACCCAGAAGACAGATGTTTCTGGTTTGGTAGCACAGGGCAATGGTTCCCCTACTGTTTTGAATTACAGACCACCATCAACATGCAGAATTACTTGCAGACAACCATGTTTTCATGGTATTCTCTCGTATCATCTGAAAAAGATCATAAACCCAGGATCATTTTAGGTTAATTACAGACCATGTACAATGAGTCCTGTCCAAACCCCATCATAGTTTGGAAACCAAGCAGTTTTTTGAAAACATGCCGTTGTTTTTTTGCCAGCTTTAGAAGTTACTAGAAATACTCACTGATTGTCACATCTCAGTCATATTTTGTTTTATTAGTGTAAAACTTTTAAAAACAGAATGTGAGTTGACCTTGCCAGTGGTTTTTCAACCCAGTTTTGCTCTGTGGTTTTCAAGCTGATTTCTGAAAGTAGATAAACTTGTTTTGTCTTTTAGTATATACTTAACGAAACAGAAGCTCAGATAAAAGCAGAGCTGTGGATGAAAGAAAATGCAGATTATTTGAAGGAACAAAAAGGTAAATATAGAGGACTGAAATTCTCCTTTTGGCTGGTGTTGCTGAAATATGCAGTCTGTGTAATCTTCATGCTGGTTACCCTTTTGTCATCTTTCAGAAAAGGAAGCAAGAATAGCAAAAGAGAAAGAACTTGGGATTTATAAGGAACACAAGGTATTAAACTGTGTGCTAATTGTGTCTGTTTGAAAATGTCCTGGAAATTCATTACATGTGCTAATCAGCTTCATGTAGGATGTATGGGCATAATGGTGCAGGTCACCACTATACAAGCAAAAGCTATTGTATCTCTCTACCTGTTACTGAAATATAAGACTATAATTTTTCAGGTGGTGAGTAAAACACTTTCTTGCCCAAACTTTTATTTTAAATTACTATTATGAGAAAATTCTGTGCATGGCAAAATCAGAGCTGGCTCTTTGCATTTATGATTGTTGTCCTAATTGCTTGCTTATTTAAATACAGGTCTTAAGACATGCCTAATTTTTTTTTTTTTAATGTGTGCATGGGGAATTTGTTTGTACTTGCCATGACTTCAGTAGCTTTCTTTGCTCTTACAATAATGATTTCTTTATGAAGAACTGAACAGATCCTTGTTACAGTCGCTTGAAGGAATATTTTGTTCTACCTTTCATAAAGAATGCGACAGTTATGTTAACAAATGGCATGTCCTGTCTCCATGTTTAGCAGTTTAAAGCAGCCTAATTGGCCATATATTCACGATTTACGACATTAGTATTTTGTGTAATTGAGCAAGTGACAAGTCAAATCTTCCACATGCAACTAAAATCCACGTTAGTTTTTAGTGTGTATGTCCTCTATCTTTTTTTCTGACTAATGTGAAAGACAGAGTTTCCTACTTCCCCTAGGTATTTAAAAAATAAAAACAAAACCAGACAATGAAACACTGTTTTATGCTTCAGAGTTTCTCATTCATTCTGTGCTTACAGAGACATGGCAGCCTACCAGCAATTTTCAAAATTGTATAACTTGTTGGCACCACCAAGTAGCCCAAACACCCACCTTTTTGTTCGGACAACACAGGAGTTTTTCTCTAACTCTGTATTGTTTCTGACAGCTCGAGTAGAACTTGATTAATATAGCGCTTTCCAATTTCAAGGTAGCACTTGACCCATGTAGGTAAACAGAGGGGCTATTATACATTAAAAAATAAATCTCCTGCAGAGCTCAGTATTGAAACCTTTCTTTGAAAAGGAAAATGCTGAATGAGAAACAGAGGTTCTTTTTTTTTCGTACCCACCCAGGCATCAGACATGGATAGAAATGTTCTCCGGTGTCATTTCTCTTTGGCTCTGTGCCGTATCCACCTCCGCAGCGCAGCACTGGGTTTGGGCTTGCAGTATTTGCCTGGGAAGGGCAGTTGCAGGTGACATTGCTGCTGCACTCATGTGTCTGCAGCCTCATGCTCTGTCCATTGGCATTAATGCCAGTCCACGCTTAGAAAGCTGCTGCTAATATTCTTGTCCTTTTTCAGTGTGGAGGAGGAGTTGGGTAGATGCTCTCCCACGCTGCATTCGGACTTGCTATAAAATGCCATTGCAGTTTTGATATTGGAGTTGTCAATGCTTAGGGGAGTCATGACCCAGCTTCACTCTTAATTTTAAAGGCAATTTTAGCAGGGGAATTTCTTTATTTCCATGCTGGGTGATGCTATCAGGGTCCCTGTTCGTATAACGGGAGTTCACTCCATTTTTTTTTCATGTGTGAGAAATGGCCCATGTTTCTTCTCTGGCAGCATTACAAATACTAAGTAAAGAATTCGTAATAAATTGTGTGAGCATTTGGCAAAAAGCGAACACTTATCTGTCAGAGAAACGAGGCCTCTTGGTCCCGTTGAGTGGCAGGAGAGGGAACGCTGGTCGCCTGCATCCCCGCATCAGCAGCACCTGAGCCAGGACTGCTGAACTGCAGCTCGCCCTTCTGCTTCAGGGAAACTTTGTTTGTATCTACATCACTAATTTTATATTTTAATTAAGCCAAAGAAATCTGCAAAGAAACGGGAGCCAATTCAAGCCAGCACAGCAGGAGAGGCAATTGAAAAGATGTTAGAACAGAAGAAAATCTCAAGTAAAATTAATTATAATGTGCTAAGGGACCTGAACAGCAAAGGAAGTAACACACCAAAGAAAGAGGATGACAGCACTGATGACAGCACCAACACCAAGAAGCTGTCAAGAAGAAAATCTGTTGCCAGTAGGAATATAGCCAACCCTGTAAACAGTGTGGGAAAAAGGTACTGCAATTGTTCATTTCTATCTCTGTCTGTGAGACTGTCTATGTATCTTTCTGAGCCAGACAATGTAGGGACTGAAACATTTGTTTGAGGCTAAAATAATGTCGGGGCTCTGTTTTTATTTATTTTGCCTGCAGTGTAACGGCAGCACCTTATTTATAGTTTGCTTATCAAAGGTCTGCTTTGGTGTGAGTTAATCATCCTGAAAGGAAAAAAATAATAAAAAAAATTTAAAAATCAGTGGAAATTCATATGTGTGAATCTTTCAGCGGAGACACCGTATACTCCTGGCATTTGCTGTCCTTCCTTTCTAAGTTGCCTGTGTCAGCTGACACAACACTAAATGTTCGAAAGCTTTGACTTTTTGCTTGATTTGAAAAATATAGTTCCCATCTGTTTTGTCAGCTAGCTGTTTTGATTCGCTTTTATTTTAGTTTTATTCCAAACTTTTTGTTGTTAATTGATGACACAAATATAAAGCTTTATAGTAAATATGCTTGCTGGTTTTCTGGTCTGCATTTGCAAATGTTTTATAGTGTGATGAAAGCTACTATTTTAATGAGTAAAATATTCAACTTGCTGGGCAGATTTGTAGTGTGCTGTAAAGTATATAAAAAGATTGATGTGTCCTGTCTGCAATATTCAACTATTTTATTCGTCTTCAGTTTATGGGATTGTGTTGGATGATCATTTGGATTGTGTCTATGTATAGTAATTTCTTACTTAGATGTTATATATTTATTTGCTGCCTAAAAAAGATAGCTGTTTTGCTTCCAGAAGTGTAGGCCAAATGCCACAATGAAATTTAGATATTTAATTATGAAACGTAAGATGGTATCTTTGCTCTGTAGTTCAGATTTAGGCATTCCTCTTCAGTAATTGGACTGAAGATTTTAAATGGTTATAATTTATTCAATAGTATTTCTGGGCCTTTTAACTTTAAATTTTTTTGACACCCCGACTATATAAAAAGTCCCTTTATAAGCCATTAAGGGCTTTTTCTTTCCTCAGCTTTCCTAAATCAAAGATGATGACTAAGCAGAATAAGGATGACTAGACCCAACCCTTTATTTTGACTCCATTTGACAGTGAGGCCAGAGGCGCGGTCTTCCATTTTGACTGAGCAGCTTACCTTCTTTATTCTGTATTTTACCAAGATAGCTTCATCCTCATTCAACTTCTCACCATTACTATCAACAACTTTGCTTCCCATTTCTTGACGCCCTGTGGATTTTGATCTCCTCTATAAGTTGCTACTTAAGGTGATGTCTAATGACCCAAGCACGTACATTTTCCACTAGCGAAGGAAAGTGAAGATGCATTGAGGATTAACTAACAGCATTTAGCCTTTGCTTTATTTGGATTTAACAGGTATTAATGAGTCATATTTCTGATATTTCTAGTAAAATATGACCAATTCAGTTGTCTGAAATGAAGTGCTAGGATGGAAATTAGGGGCTGGTCAGGATCCTGGTTGCATTTCAGAGCTCAGCAGTAACATCCATGCTCGAGCTGCTTCGCCATGTCCAAACCTTGTCACTTCTGAGGTTTGCAGAAATGTTGGGCACTCAGAGCTCCTGTTGAAGTGAGTATGTTAAACTCTTAAGAGGTGTTAAACTCTTTGGAAAATCATGCCATAAATATTTAATTTAACAGTGGTGCAACTTGAAAAGGTTTCTAAATAAATACAAATCAGTATTTTCCAAAAGCAGCTAATAAAACATGTTTATTTTTCCTCTTGAGAGCCTAAAGTACGTCCTCAAGATGCTTAACAGAGTTTCCTGATGATGATTAGCAGATCTTGGATACAATGAATTTTGCAGCAGAACACTTTAGAAGGGGTTGGGAATACATGCAGATAGGTGAATTAGGGGGATTTTGCACTTCAGAATCAGGCAGTGTTTTTGCTTAAATAGTATCAAGGACTTGGCAAACCATTAGTTGGGCTTTTTTTCTTACAGTTAGAGATTTATGACATCTTTTGATTTTTTTTGCTAGTAGTCTAAATGCCATGCATTTTAAATGTTTTAAATGCATAAATTTCTGTGTTCTGTATTGTACTTACATGCCATGCATTCATTACCTTTGTTCAGCATCATTCCTCTGAGAGGTGAATGGCTAAATACCTTCCCAGTGATACAAAAATCATGGTAATTTATATGCAATTAATAATAATAAAACCCCTGAACACTGCTCATTAGAAAATGAATGAAGCACATAATGTGTCTTTATCCAGGAGGCATTTGCAGAGATCATGCTAACCGTTTTGGTTTGTAGTGATTTACAGTCCTGTGTGTTTATCTTTATATGTCTTAAATATTTAGTAAGCTGCATTTGACTGCAGTAGCACCTTGCATGACCATGCTTGGTTCCGGCCCTTTAGCTATCTGAGTTACAGTCAGATTTTAAAGAGCTACTGATTTAGTCCTGATCTCAGTTAGAAGGTGGGAAAGTAGATTTTTTTATAAAGAAATATCTTTATGTCTTTCCTTTTTTAAGCCAAGATTTTACATACCTTATCAGGTTTGGACTGATGATGGAGCCAAATTTGTCATGTGTCTCAGGAATCATCTTCATATACAGTATATAACACCCTGGAAATAGGAAGTTGATCTTCATCTTCCTAATTGTCCCTTGCTATTAAATATTCTGTACTGTTATTTCCCAGAAGAGGATTTCAGATTATGTCTTAAAAAAATAGTGGAGCCAGCCAGACATGGTGCAATCTCTGGGTAGTTTGTAGTTTTGTTTTTTTATTTTTTTTTTAATATGACATAAAGTAGCAGTTACAATGTTAATCAGTTAAAATATTTGGAAAGCCTTTGTTTACTTGTGATGATGATAAGCAAATTTTACAGTCTTGTAAAAATTTATTGGTTTGCAGGAATTTATAAAGAGCTGGGATGCAAAACATGATCCCAGGAGCTTGCTTAAACTGGATAGTCTTTCAGTTGGTGGCTCTTTTAATATAGCTTTATTGCTATCATAATCACTCTTACTTAATGGTCACTTGGATTCCAAAGACAGTATAGTTTATCTATATATTATTTCATAAAAAATCCTGATTTTGCAACCTCTGAAATGTTTGTTATTTTCTGAAATTTTGTTAGGAAGATACTTTCAAAGAATTCTTCCAAGGATCCTGTGGAGTTCTCATTTTCAGATGAGTAGATATTATATACATCAGTATTTTCAGAATCAAACTGGATTTTTGAACAGGCTTCTTTACCATGTTCACTGTGCAACTTTTTGAGTTTTAGAAAAAGACATGCTTTTCTCAGACACATTTCCCAGACTTATACCGGGGTTTTACTTGTTGTATCTGTCAAGATGGTAGAAGACTGGTGATGACAATGTAAGTAATTTTAGGAAATTTTATGTTGTGTAAATGTATTTCATTACATTTCTTAATGCATTTTTGTTCCAGTGGGTATCACGGTTGGTGCTTCAGATGCAAAAGCTGTTTCATTCTCTGTGTGTTAGAGATGTGGCACGGTGGATGTTGCTGTAATAGATGTTGCAACTTTAATTTCAATTACCAGTTGCACGGTTTATCTTCACTAATGTCTTCTGTGCATATGAAGCATAAGAATAATATGTTGAACTCCTAGAAAAGAATGATTACCACTTTGAACTACTTAAAACCTGAACTCCAGTTAGAGCCGTGTTGTGTGCTGGGGCTCTTCAAGTCCAGTAAAGATGGGGTTTAGGTCTGGAAGCTTATGGTTAGAAGCTTAATAATTTATGCTGAATCTTACAGCATTATTTGTGAAGTGAAATGTGTTGTACCAAGAGAATGTGGGAACAAGAACGCTTTCAAGTCACTACTTTTTAAAAATTTTAAGCCTATCTATTGCTATGTGCTTGAAATTGGTAATGATATCAGAAAAGACAGGATATATTATCGGGGGAATAAATGTGTCAGGTTAATCTCCTGAAGAATTTGCCTTGGAAGAAATGAAGCAGGACTGCAAAGCACAGCTGAATCTGTTGTAATGAAACAAGGTTGTTCTGAATGGAAGCATGTGAATATATAATAGAACACCAAATCCTGCCTGCTACGAATATGACAAAAATCCTTGGTAGAGCTCTCAGATTTGATTAGATTTGGAAATTCACCTCCAAATTCTCTCTATGGCCTCACTTGTGTTTACCAACCACCCATTTTGCTCGTACACGTTGGCAAGTGGCTCCACCTGTGCTTTGGAGCCACTGGACCTGGATATTGCAGACAGCACATTTGGAGTACCAGGGGCTTGTTCTCAAATTCCTGCCCCGAGATGCACACTTTCAATTAGCATCTGCTCCAGCTATATTTTTGTTGGCTTTTCAATGGGTGTCATGACCCCAGAAAAATCCCCTTTATTATGAGGGAGAATGTATGTAATACTCTTCCACAGCCTAGCGTTTGGCATCTCATTTAACCTGATAAATTACTTGGTGCTTTCTTGTCTCTTAATTGGAATCACATTCTTCTGAGGGGGTAAAATATGGGCAGAAGCCTCATTTAGGTACTTTGGAGGAGCCTGATGGTCCCGTGCTGCAGAGGGAGCCCAGGGAGACAGAGCCAGCTTTGTGCTGTGAGCTGGTGGGAGCACGGCCCCAGCTCCGACCCTCACTTGCAGCTGGCCCTTTCTGGTGTCTGGGGTGGGAATATTACTCTGTAAGGTGGAAGTTTGTTTCTATCTCATTGTCTTTGCCAGATTATTTTTTGGTAAAGTTGTGGGAGGGAGTGGCATGCCGTGCTGTGTATCACATCCAGCCTGAAAACTTTCTTCACTGGTTGATCCTGCAGATGTCCAGCAGAACCTGTATTTCTTTCTCCTGGCGAATAGGGAAGGATGAAGCCCCAGATTACTTGTTACCCTCACATGCAGGCTCACTGATAATGATAAGCCCTTTATTTGTAGTTTTATGGTTTAGGTAGGTGGAAGTGTTGTGCTGAGTGCTGTGCCGCGTCCTGGCTGGGTGCTGCTAACTCAGCCACAAGTCTGAGCGTC